CCCAAGCTAGACGTGTAACATAGATTCGCCAAAATGAATTGTGAGACCTGGGGCAATATTCACATATGGGGCCCCCTTTCCACTTTTCTCCCCTCCATGCCGCTTCAAATATACCCACTGAGTGTTGTTGAATCCGTCATTGCGAACTAACGCCACGCTAATAAACAATAGTACATACATTCCAGTGTGGCCGGTCCCACCTCCCTCTCCGCGGTATTGAACATAGTCGGAAATACATGAGTTCAGTCTGCACTTGAACATTCTAGGCGGCAGTCGCTCTCGAGTGAGACAGAGACCCCAAGCAGTGGAAGACATCCACTAACTCTGGGTCGCCTAGGCTAAGCGTGTAGCATTTTCGGAACTTCAGTCAGCAGTCCCATGAACGCTCTGCGCAGCAGCCGCTCTGACCACATACGTCATGTGCATCCCTCTCTATCTTATTCATGGGGGTGTTTATGCCTATGATACGGACTTGTATCAAGCGGCACTTTCATCCCGTATCGATGTCGACAATGTGTTTTATCGTCGGTGAAGTCCATCTTCGTCACTTTTCATGTAGGTCAATGAGTGAAATATTCGCTAGAGAAACGTGGTGGTTACTACGTGGCCGACGGGGTCTTTCCGATCCAAGGGTTCCTGTTCCATACAGGTGGGATCCCGCCGTTTTCACCATCGGGAGTCAATCTCCCTCCGAGAAAATCAATCAATTATGGACGGGGTTCTGATAGATAAAGGGGTCGAGATCCAGAAAAATATATGATCTGATGATGAGATCTCATCCCTGTGAGGAAGTCATTATTCCATAGGGGATGAAAGGGGACTACTACATGTGTAATAAGTGGGTACGTTTTACACGTCGCTGCCAAGAACTCCATCTCGGATCCCTGGGTCTGTATCGGGAGCGGGGTGTGTGCGTAGAATGCATCCCTCCCGTTGTAATAACTTGGAGAAAGAAATGTAGTCGTATTTGGTTTGGTGGTGTAGAGGAAAAGTCCATGGCCGCCAAGTAGGAGGTCCTGGGAATATTCCCGTGCGCTTTTTTGTTTTTCTTTGGTTATGCTATCTGAAATCACTCCCCCCCCCCCGGGGCTATTACGTTCTCGAGAATGGATCCGACGCCCGCAATGGCAGGAGGGATGGTGCTCGCTCCAGAGAGCGAGACAAATACCCGAAGCCGGGCAGAAGAAGGTGCTGCGCATGCGCATAAGACACTGCGGACATACAGACGCCCTAGCGTACTACCTAGGAATATATATACATAGAAGGAATCAGGAACGTTTGTCCGGTAGGCAAAAAGAATCATTCATTCCTACAGAGAAACCCCTTTCTAAGAAGAGAAAATTTAGTTGCAAAATATCAAAACAAGAGGGAACATATGCATTACAATTTGGTATCTGGGGATTTGTGAGTTTACCAGATTGTACCCTTGCTGTGCATCCTTGAGTCGAGAATGCCCTTGGATCGGATGTCATTTGAACACCATCTGTGATGAAATTCGTGGATGTTACTCGCCGTTCCAGATCTGGAAGGTGTAGCCAAAGCGCCGTTAGAAAATCTTGAACTTGAACGCCAATAATAAGTTTGCGTCCCCATCCTCCTGATAAACGGGATCACCAAGACTCTCTAATGTTTGTCAAATTCAACGAAAACCGTTTTTAAACCATTTCAGAATAAAATGAGTCTCATTGGTCTCCTCCAGTACAACTTATTTCTTAACATCGTGTCTAATCTGGGTGAGGTGTTCGCCGCTGCATGTCTATGAAGGGCGAATCCACATATAAAATATAATCCACATACCGGTATATGACACGCAATTTACCGAATCACCTAAACCATGAAGGAGAATTCGTGTGAAGGTGAGAGTGGTCTTATATTCATTGTCATGGTCTAAAACCTTGCACAAAAAATAGAATGTGTTAATTGATTGATTAAGTTAAAAGTTAATTACTTGATCTCCTTGATGCTACCTGTTAAGTGCTCTCTCTTGGATCGACCAGGCAGTCTCTTCAATCTCAACGATGACCTTAATATCTGATTGCTAATTGCGTTTTTCTTACTGCTAATTAACAATAATCCATGAGGGAAAGACTTCCGACCCGCCGAATGGTGCATGTGTTATATCTATCGCAAGCTCTTGATGAGTACATCGCATTCATTCTATATCTGGCCGCAGGAGTGAGAAATTCAGCCTAATTTGGGGAATGATGGAGCAATTGGATTAGAAAATAGTCGTGGCCAAAGGCCGCAACCCTTTCCTAACCCAACTGACCCATCATTTCCCAAAACAGGTTGACTTTCTCACTCTTCGGCCATGGACCGAACTGGCGGAATGGAAATGGAGGTCTACTTACCGTGCCAGCGCGATAAAGGGCCTCACCAGAAAAAGAAGGCTTCGAGTTAAGATTCACGGGAAGGTAGGAGCACAATTACAAGACAAGATGGCCTGGGCGAGGCGTCGAACATTCCTGCTCCAGAATGTCCACGTATAATGTAACCATTATATCAGCACATTAATATTATACACTCATGCCTCAACTCTTTCGGCTGAAACATATATCCCTGTAATATATGCATACAGTATTTTCTTGTGAGATATATCATGCAACATTTTGCGAGTTGTCCACTGCACCACATGTCCCTACGCTCCGCCAGCCACTGTGAGCGGATGGTGAAAAAAATCCTCCGATAGCGAAATTCGCTTGCATCATACAAGAAGCTTGATTGCCAACCGAGCTGCCCGCCAAACTCGCGTGTCAGATCGATCCAATAGAGTTTATGCGCATCCCGTGCCTAGCTCAAAATCATCCCTTTTATCCAATGCATGGGTGTTCGAAACGCGAACTGCGTGCCTCACTTCAATGCTACAAGGCGGATTTTCTTGAGAATTTGCATCCATCCAGTTGAGGGTTCTCTGATGACGTGAGGCATCCCATATTATTCGTCCAAAGTGTGGTTTTTTTAAAATTCGAACATTATCCCTTTAATATTTTTTGTCCTCTTGCTGCTAATTACAAATTAGGCCTGAGTTGTTAATGTTTGTTGATACGTTGCTACCAGCGAAGCGGATCCCGCGGGACGCGGATGTGGTCTAGTATATCATATTACATCCTTCTTGGAAGTGAATGTTGAAGCAAATATATTCATGTTTATTATAGTATTGGTGTTCCTGGGAAACTTGTATCTCACTCTAAATGTGGTGTCCAGAACAGGATTAAAAGCACTAAAATGTGACAAAATGCCAATATTGATGTTCGTGTCTTTGGAGAAGAGCAAATGCTGAGGACGATTTTAGTTGAGATGAAGGGGCCTTTAGGCTATATAGTTCTTTTCTCCTAAAAGAATCCATTTGGTCTTCAAGGCCCCTCAAAAAAAGGGTTTTCCATATTCGGGGCTAAACATGTATTTACTGAGAGGGGAATAATATCGTTTAGATTTGTTCTGTTTGCACACCAACGTAATCCAGGGACCGTCGACCTTTTCAAGCGCTCAATGTTTGCAGATTTTTCAGTCCTTTCGGAAAACGAAATCATTTCGTCAAAAAAGAGATGATACTTTTCATATTAATAGTGACTCGCAAAAAGGCGGGCTGGAAGCAATAGAATAAGCCAAGGACGCATTTGGGTCATTGTCCGGCTTATTAGAAATTGCGAGGAAGTCCTGTGGAGATGAAGTCCAGGACGCATGACGGAGAACCCTGGAAACCCATAAGGACGAAGTCGTGGAGACGGCGCACAGTGAGTTCCTGACGCTTCTGGGATAATATCTTATCGTTATCTTGCTTATTGATATCTTGCTCGTTTTTCTCCTATTTTTTTTTCTTCCATTCCATTTTTATTTTCTTTGGAAATTTTCATTTCTCGCTTGCATTGAACTCCCTGAATGGAGTCACCAAAGACTTGTGACAACTATACCTAAATTAAGACTTTGGTTTTTGGGGGACTTGATGAAATACGACAGATCAAGTCTGATAGACTTGGAGTTCAAATAGGAAGGAGCGTTTCCTCTCTTCGGTATCTTTACTTAGAAGAGTAAATGGAACAATTTTGAAATATCCAAATGCCATGGATTATGCTGAAAATTGTGATATACTCAGACAAAAAATGTGGTAAAATATCGTCAGGAAAAAAAATAAAATGTGAGTCATGAGATGAATATTTCTTCCGTAGGTCGAGCTGCTTGTCATATTGTATGTTCCCCTGAGATCGCATTGGCGAGGGATTTTTCTGTCAAGAAGTTCACAAAGATTGAAGGTGTAAATGCAACAATCCTTGATCCCATTCTCACCATTACCGGCGGGGACGCCGTCACCTGCGCGGATTCATGTTCCAGGTAAACCCTCTTCAAATCAGGAAATTCTTTGCAAATACAGGGTGGGCCAAAGAAATGCTCCGAAATTGAAGTTTAATAACTTGGGTCCCGTTCGGGCAATACCAATTTTAAAAGAAAGAAAAATGAAGCTTGTTCAATTTCCTTTCGAATTATACATAATTTTTGGGGTTTGCTTCAGAGAAATAGTCGCTGTTAAATTTTTAAAAAAGTGACGAAATCATTTCTTGAAATGGGCTTTTACTCCAAGTTCCTTTTCCTCAACCTCGAATATATCACACACACGCAAACAGACCCTTTTAATGGCTCAAAAATGGTTCAATGTGCCCCCCTCCATGATCTACAACAGCCTCATGTTACACGCCTCATTATCGCATGATCTCTCATCAACCAATCCGTATCATGCAGGGGCGCGTGGGAAAAAGGGGGTGCGCGGGAGCAACAGGCGACAGCAGCAACGTGACATTGGAAAGAATTCAGGAAATTTTTCGGCACTTCTTTTTAAACTGTAATATCGGCCATATCTCTCCCGCAAAGCCCCCAGAATTATACATCATTCTAAAGAAAATTAAACAAGCTTCATTTTGCTTTTTTTAAAAAATTGATATAGGTCCAACAGGGCCCAAGTTATGAAGCTTTAATTTTTTGGGGCGGATTTTTTTGGCCCACCCTGTATGATCATGCACGTCATTCCTATTTCGGACTGGCCTGGAAGGAGCATCAATTGTAAGGTGTTTGCTCTGACGACGAGTTCCGGCGCCACGGTCTGTCTACTGGGAGCCAACACTTCCACCGTTCAGACAAGTCCCGTCGGTATATCCTCTGCCCTTTATTATGATGGTAAGTTTTCCTTGGGTAGAGAATGTCGCTATACATAAAAAACAAAACGTAACGCTTCGTTAGAAAGTTTCTTGATCAGACTTCTCGCGAAAGGTATATCCTTTAGGTAAATTCCATATTTTATAATTTTCATTTGAAAGGAATCGATCCATTCCTAATTACGTCTAAGTCATTAATACGAGAAAGCTCAAGAAATATTGTTTCGGAGAAACGAAAACGAATAATTGCTACTTACATCCAGAAACGATAACGGCCTAGCTTCATAGGTCTGAGGTAGAATTAGTAGAAATAGGTAGAATCGCCCACTTCGACTTCAAACTAATTGCTTCGTCATCCGTTGCAGACGCTTTCGTCCCCGCAGGCTACACCATTGCCATGCTCACGGATGAGATCCATTTCCTTAAGTTCCCTGGCGTGGCCACGAACTACAACGCCGCCTTGGACTACTGCAAGACGGACGGCGCCCGCTTGGTCGTGGACGACAAGGGCCTGGCGTGGCACGACAGAATCATGCAGATCGTCTTGCCGTTGGTGACGACTACGTTTTGGCTGGGGGGTGAGGACTTGGACGGGGACCATGTCTATAAATGGATCGATGGTGAGACGATTCTCGCGGTGGAATACACATTTTTCTCAATCGTATGGTGGACAGGAGGCAGGTAAAAGGACCTCCATCGGGATCAACTTCATCAATATAGTCGATGATGTTTTGATCAACAGAACCAAAGTTTGTGATCTTAATAAAGCAGGCTTTTACATAGTCCCGATGGAACTGGTTCGAGAAAGTTATCTTCAACATGCTGAAAAGAAAGGGTAAAACGACAAAATCCGAACACCTGTAGGTGTGCTCCGATATGCTACGTGGCATCTCTCCCTCATGCTGTGCTAGAGTTGATGTGAAATGCTTTTAAACCATCACATTTGGAACTCTTGCTGACATGTTCCGTGGTAACATTTTATGATCCTCGTGGCAGCTGATTCTTCTGTCTTCAGACGTATGTGGAGTCGAAATGGGAAACCTGGCAAGATAGATAATTGAAATGGTTAACTCAATTTAACTTTATCAGGGTGATCCTCAGTTTCCAATTAAGAAAGAATGTTAAAACGTTCTTTACCATGGACTTCTTTTCATGGACTTCTTTCTTTTGCAAGTCGAAGTCCATCTTTAGAGCGCGATGGTTTTGGATCTACAGCCATGTAATCATAGATGCTTCTATTGTGGCACAGGGACTTTGGTGTCCTCATCAGTGCAGACCTTCTGGAGTCCTGGACAGCCAAGTTTCACGGTGTCCGGAATCCCCCAACAATGCATGCAAATGTTTTTATCTGGCTTGTGGGATGACACACAGTGTAGCGGAGCGCTATGGGCCGTTTGCGAAATCCGCTTACCATAGGCTTCTCATCTCTCAACATTCATCAGGAACACATGGACTGAGTAGATGTGTGGAACGTTTGCCGCTTCCAGGAATTACACAAGGACCATTGAAAACATGAATGAGTGATTAATGCCATATTTGCGTATTTGATTAATCTCTTTTAGATCTACTTTCGTATTTAGTTTAACTCTCTCCCGGCATAAACGCCCGAAAGCGCCCGAGAGCAATTTGCCGTTCCCGTGCAAAGCGCATGTCTTGCTTTGAAGCTTGTATTGCCATGTGTTGAGTGGTTGGTTGGTTCACTTAATGCCTTGCGTTTTTGCGCACATATTTAGGTTTTCAAGCGTGTCACATGTAGGGCGGCGGTAAAATGGGATCAGTAAAAAAAAGACGAGGTATTTTTCTGAAGGCTGCCAACGAGCTGTCAAAATGGCTGCCTTTAGAGTAGAGGAAATTGAAGCTGAATGAAATGATTGTGATTTCAGTGACTGACAGTTCTGGTGGAAGTGAAATTTCATGTGAATTGTTTGATAATGATTTTGTCAGTGATAGTGATAATTATATTGACAAGAGAATCAGTGATGATGGTACAGTGATACAAATTCAACTGCCCCTTGGCATGTTCAGTGACAATTTACATTTCGCAGTTCCTGAGAGGTATGTGGGTGAATTTGGACCAGTCCCTGACCTACCCGTAGGATCTGCTGAACTCATACTAAAAATATGGTCCAAGACAAAGATTTCTTTAAGAACATTGCATTGAACACGAACAAGTATGCATTATTCAAAGAGAGTATGGAATATGAATTGACAGACTGGTGGGAAACTTTCAACGAGGAAATTGTAGGAGTTGAGGTAGAAATCTAAAGACTGATAGCGTCTAAAAAATACCTGTATATATTTGTATATAATTATTTTGTAAATAACCACTGACAATTTTAGGAAGATCTGTCAGTTCCTGAGATATTAATATTTACATATGAAGATATTTATAACTCCCTGTCCGAGTGTAAAATAATTGGGTAAATCCTGGAAATACATGGCTTTTTAATGGTACCAGGAGAGGGTAAACACTCATATTCCTTGTCCTTGTGCACTGACGTAACCAATGGATTCTTAATCCTCATGAAAGGAGTGTTCATTCATTGTCTATCCTGAGGGATTGCATGAATGCAGCTTTTTTTCGGAAATAATATAAGAAATATCGTGAATTTCACTGAAAATTGTATGTCTTTTTTGCGTTAACGCTCCAAACAAGTCAAACGACTCGATTTTGAGACAGCATGGTGTGCAAGGAGATATTCTGTGGTATGCTACCCTCATGCCGTGCTATACGGTTGATGTGAAATGATTCCAAACAAACTGTGAAATGCAAATATTCCTACCGCGTGCAACAATGATATTATTGCCATTAAGTCGTATGTACCGAATCAGTTGCATGGCCAGAGAAATTGATCATTGTGACTATGGAAATTGATAATTGAAATTGAGTGGTGAAACTTCCTACTTACTCGTGGTCAGCTGCATTTCATGCTTTGCATACGAAATATGCCCGCTTAATCATGACTCATGAAAACGCGTTGCACTCAGTGGCGCTCCAGCAGCTTAACTGCTACACATAACTTCATTGATTTTTTTTTCAGCTTCAGGTTTTACGTCACAATTACGGTTTACATGCGCGCGGCTGTCACTTTTCTTACCATGCTCAAGAATCACGATTTTAAAATATCAAGTACTTGTTCTTATATGAAAATAAAGTGTCCCAGGAATGTACTTGCTAACGCGTTCTTTACCCGATTCATACATACACTCAGGTATTTATTTAGTCAAATGTAAAAGATTGGTCAGTAGTTTCGTGATGAATGTGGTGTCCGGGTCCAGCATTGATATTATATGCATCAGACTACTTTGCCAATAAGTCGGTAATTAGGAGTGTAACGTCAGACCCAAGATGAATCCATTGTGTTTTTGGTTAGCAATATACTTTATTTGTGGGACCGTACTCTTGCGTCAGTTTGAAGTAGGTGGACTTCGGAATGGGAATGAGTTGAAATTTCACAGATTACGGTCACGGTCCAGGGTCTCTAGACTATCAGCATAGAGTCTCTTGTCGGCCTATTAGACTTAGAAATCTGCTATCGTAACCTGACTTGAGAGGCCTACGAACGTATTGTTGTGTTTTACGGGCCATAGGCTAGGTAAAACGACGCGAGACGATGCGTACGTCTTCTTATGTGGATGGATTAAGGAAACTCATTAATACTGCTCAGGTAACACAGGAGTACATCGATAGTATATCTTAAGATCCTAAAGACATACGCCGGATGTCTTGTCTTAACTGGGTAGGAGATTCATCAGCTCGCGAACTGAGTTGCGTCAGACTTGGATCCCATGGAACGTCCAGATCCAATCCAGAATCGGACTAACGCAGGAAGTTAGATTCTAGTGGTGTCTCGGAGCTTAGCTGACGACATCGTGGTATGGCGACACAGTTCGACTGTTGGTTGCCCCGAAACTCCACAGGAAATAGACCCCGATTTCCGCAATTGCTGCTGCTCATATAGTTGTCATTCCCTAGTCTATTTTGACCATTTTCAATTACAACGGTCCAGGCTTACACCGATTTCCCTCCCTACTCTTTTCCGTACATCTTTGGCTCAAGCTTATGTTCATCCCCTGAAACATAAATTCCTACTATGTTTTGACCTGGCAAACTGCCAGGGTGGCCTATGGGGACCTCATCTGAACTGCCTGCAATGTGTCCCTAGGGGCCTTGCTGTCTTGGAAGGTAACTGAGCAGCCAACCTTTATTACATTTAGTACACTAAACCATTTTTTACGATTAGTCTTTAGCTTTGGAAGTATTGGACCCTTGCATGGTTCATATGAAGAGTTCGACTGCCTAAGGTGTCAGTGCAAAACAACTAAGCTAAACCCATGGGCAGTGTTTCTTATCACGTAATGCTATTCCAATAGTACACAACCTTATCCTCCGTAAAGGCCGAAATTGAGATTTCGGCTCGTTTTCGAGAGCGACAGATACCATCAAATATCGAGTGTCCGAAATCCATTTATTTTCAAATCAATTACTTTATTTTTTAATGCTAATGAGACTTTTGGCTCTGCTTTTCAAGGACCATTTTCTCGATGCCATTTGGAATGAGGGAGTTGATTTATTTGCAATCTTACTTATAGGTTTTTATCCGTGAGGCAGTTCCGATGTTTCGTCTTATTTAAGGTCATCAGATGATGTCTATCCCTGGCGAGGAACTTGTAGAAATTCCCAACGTTCCCATCTCTGAACTTTGAAGTGGATCGCACCTTTGGAGATAAATTATTTCGAACTGCAAATCTGGATCTACTCCCTAAAGTGCAAGTGAGAAGGGGTTGGAAAATGTTCGAAACATAATGTGATCTTTCTTGATGGCAGCAAACATGAAAACAAATACTTGCAATTTTTTTTAAATGTGACCTACATAATCACGACTATCGCTTTTGTGTTGCTGAAACATTTTTGACTGTGAGGGAAATGGGAGAGTTGAATTTTTAGAAGCTGTCCATGAGAGAGTTTCAGTATTATTTGAAGGGAAGTCACGTTATTTGCAACATCTGAAAGAAGCTGCTTCCTTCCTTGAAGCCTTGCATTAAACTCATTCAAGTGGGGTGTTAGGTCGGTAAGAAAAGCAAATAGGTTGCACATCCACTTCGCATCTTGGAGCTCATCAACAGACTTCCCTTTTTCAATCAGGAACACTTAGATTTCACGCGGAAGTTTAAGAAATTCCTTTCAGAACTTTACCTCTGCTAAGCCACCGGTCTTCGCAGTAGAGATCATCCTACTCAGCCTCTCTGAAAGAACCTCTCACCGCCTGCAGAATGGTGGTCGAGAGATTCTTCGTGGGCGATTTTGCGCTGAAGGATCCCATCTTCCTGGAATTAGCCCGTTAAGTCACGAGGAATCCTTTAATGAGGTCCTCTTACGGGTCGGACCGAATCCAGAGAAATAGCATGCGTCACATCCTCCCCCTTTGAAGCAAAATTTCATTATACCTATTCAATCCGTATCTTCTTTAAAAAAAATTGTTTTTTCGAGGGATGATATATCGGGCATCCCCTTTGGACACCTCAATAGACACTCTCTTCTTTGTTCCTTGTTCCACAGCCACGCCACGGTCCCTACCGCCTTCATTCCAGTCATTTGAGTCAATTCATCAAGGCTACGTCTAATGAAGTTACAAATCGCAGGGGTATCATACATTGTCACTGCCACTGGTGAAGGCATTCTTTTTATGGAGGAAGAACATGAAGATAAACTTTCTGTGTGGTCTTAAAAGTATTGGACCCTTGCATCGATCATACGAAGAGTTCGCCTATCTTAGGCGTCAATGCAAAACAAATAAACTCAACATGGGTAGTCTTTCTAAACACGTAATGCTACTTCAGTAATACACAACCTTATCCTCCGTAAAGGCCCAAAATTGAGATTTCGGCTCGTTTTCGCGAGCCACAAATACCATCAGAGATTTGGAAAATTCTAAAGTATTAATGGCGATAGACTGAGACGTATCAGCAAGAAGTGCCTGGCCCTGTATCAAATTAGGTTAAGGTAAGGCCTATGAAGCCTAGGTCTGGGAACTGTAATCACGGATGAGGGTCAACCTATCAGCGTCGCAACTGTAGTAACTTTAAAGCAGTAAATTGTGAAACATTTCACTGCGGTACGGTTATTACTCACCACCGCTGAGAACACTTTTGCACAGTTCTCCATTCATCAGGGAGCGCGACACTAGATGCCAGTGATGAGGGAAGCCTGCTAACTGGATATGTTACGCTGATTGTTTTGGGATTAATCTTCACACCATTCGCATGAAAACGCCAATACTTACACCATACCAAAGGGTATGATGTAATTAATTACAGTGCGATTTGCTTTTCCGATTTTCAGACTCAAATTGACTCAAATTTAGTCATATTTATCTTAGTGTTTCAGGACTACTAAAATTCTACAAGAGTAATTCGAATCGACCCAGAGTGACCCGAACAGATGCAGAATGACTGGACCCATGGACCCCACAGCAGGGTAGGTTAATTTAGAGGGCCCCAGGTTCGATAAATTTCACACAGAGCTGCCCGAAGTGACCCAAGTTGGGTCAGTCACCTAGCTTAAATATTGTTGCTGCCTGAGCGATCGAAGTTTTTTTCTCTTGATCACTTGAGATCACATTTTGTCAATTTTCGTAACACTTTCTATTTTTTTTTGTAAACTTGGGTCAGTCATATGTGCAGTTTAAGTTTTCCCTACGGGTCATCTTGTGTCACTGGGTGACTTTTGAGTATTTGTAGTTAATTTCTTAAAGATAAACTCTTTAACATTTTAGTAAAATTTGAGATAACTTGGATCAATCTGGGTTACTGTGTCATTTTCATCATGTTCGGTGGCTCAAGATCAGTTGGACAGAATTTCGATAACTATAGCATTGTAGTATCAATATAGGTTTGGCAAATCGGTTCCATGTAATCAAGGCATGATATGCACTCCAGGCCATTTCTCTATTATTACTTACTTTTGTGACACCTTGTAATGCAAAAAAAGAAATAGTTCATGGGATAAAGATTAAGGTAACTGGGATGTGTATCCCGATCCCCTTTCAACACCGGTTGTCCCGTATAAACAGGGTATGTTTCGGTTCCTGTCCCTTTGCTTCGATTGATACATCCAACGAAGTACACGCTTTCGTACACGGTCTTAATGGATAATTTTTGTGGAAACATCAAGCTATGACACTTCATGACTTGAATTATTCGAATGCCGTTTCTGACAGAATGGTGGCGTCATCAAAGGTCTTCCTGGCTTTTGCGTGTAGAATCTGGATGATCCCTGGAAGTAACTGTCATCTTACGTTCATTAATGAGAATACTGTGGTTTCGTTTCTTTCCGTAGATGTCAGGAGCCGTCGGGAAATGGAATGTAGTAAGAGGTTTCAAGAATGTGCGCGAATTCAGCGATCCGGTGCGACCATAGTGATGAACGTGCATATAGCAATGGAATTAAAGTCCCATCCAAAGAAGAGTTGCAATAATATATATGTAATAAGAGCCGACATTTTTGGGTTTCTTTTTCTGTCCCCCGCAGGTCTGGATGGCACTACTTCTTGGAACTTATCTGATGGACACAACTTGAACCACGTCCGCATCCAACCAGAGACTCGATCGCCGTCTGAGCTTCGCAGACCCGTCCCTCGGATCGCGTCGGGCCGATCGGCCGAACGTCCACATGGACCTTCAAGCTGGAGAACTTCAAATCCATCATCGTTCTTTCGCGGGCGGTTGGCAGTCAGGAGTCACGATTGCCGATCAAGACCCACGACCGATCGGGTCGTTCTGATCGAGCCTATCCGTATTCGTCCAGAACTCGAAGCTGCTTCATACTAAATATTTTTACGGAGGGCTAAAGTGGAGACGGACGACGGAAGGCATGAGAGGTCGAAAGAAAGCCAGGGAACCGCCGGGGCTTGAACCAAGGCCTCTGATTGCCGGTGTGGTATCACCGAACCCGGGAGATTCAGTCGTGCCCCTCAATGTCATCCTCATCTGTCACAATATCAATGACGTCGACAAACACCCCCGATTTGTCATTTTATACTCGGGGTGTGTTCCATAGCCGAAGTTTCAGTCCCCCATAAGACGGATCTCAGTGACACTTGGCGAGTGGGTAAACTCCAAGTTCTTAATGACGGAAATCATCCCTTCTTCATCCATTAATTGGACATTTGAGATTTGAATGATGCATCTCCTTTTGATCATTTCAAAGCCAGAGTATTGAGAAGTATAATTCGCTTTTAAAAAAAATGCACACCTGCAATTTGGGGTTAATTGGTGATTGAATGACTTTCCTAATATTGACGAAAGTGAGATTTTCGAAAAATTTTACGCCGTCTCCCATCAGAATGATTTGAGACAGATATTGCTGAAATTTTTCATGTAGGAGATATGAAATGATTGGAAGCATTCCGCATTCCCCTAAATACGGCTATGAATTCAATGGTCTTCCATTTTTCTTATATGAATGCTACGGTCAGAAAAAACACGGACATTTAGAACATGAGTAAATTGGGAGAGTGGGGCGGGGGGGGGGGGGGGAGGGGTTGCAATGACAGATGACAGAAATCACCCAATAGTGCACTCTCCTCCCTTCTCCACATCATGCGAACGTCGGAGGACCTTTCTCGAGTTTTCCGGATACTGTAAGCAGGCCTGCGACGCACGAATGGTTTGACGCGCCTACGATTATTTATTTTCAAGTTGTATTATTAGGACGTGGTGAGGGGGATTCTTCCGTTAAAGTGGCCAGTAGAAAGACAGCTCTTTACCTAGGCTTGTACAATATTTAGAATTGCAATCGCACTATAATCCTGCATTATATTGCATCATAATCCATTCTCAGTGTCTCTTCGTATTTTTGATCTGTTTGGTTTGAGAACATTTGAGGCTTGGCTTTCGTGTGATGGATGATATGGAAGTGATTTAACAGTCGCATCTACAGGTCTTCTCCATTTTTTCGTGTTTTGACGGAACGTGTTTGCCAATGAATATAATTTCCCAAGTGGCGAAACGTTTCCTATTCGGAAGCATCTAATTCCCGATTCTCGTAGCAGTTCGTATGACCAAGAACGTCGTGTAATGATCGGAGGAATCAGGTTGGATGGTATCAGTGGCTAAAAGGAACGTCGTGGAAGGATGCGGATTCCCGACATCGGAGAGAACCGCATGCTCGAGTAGCTATGGATTCGGATCGAGAAATTTTAAGCCCCGGTGATTCGGACACGTGTCCCGAAATGACGAATACAAGACCAGTCGGTTGACCTCTAGCATTGGACTATGCTGAGAAGCCGTTTTACTTCGCCACTCCAACGACTTTACTCCCGGACGAAGCCCTGGAGCGGCAACATCGGAACGGTACAACCTTCCTGCCTAATCCACGATCCCATCGAGTAGAGATGGGCAGCAGGAAACACGCAAATCATTGTCTACAACAAGTGCAGGATGCCATTTTTTTAAATCTTGAATCAAAGACAAAAGAAATACAAATGCACTCTGCATTCGGAATGATTCAACCGATTCGTCATATGAACGGTTTCGTTCTCAAAATCAAAGGGAGAAGGCTAAGGAACTGATATAACTTACATTAAACAGTTGCGAAACACTTAAGGTGTTGTGGAACCTGGCATGAAAACGCGTGCCCGCAAAAGTCCTGCGATGAAGATACATCGCAAATCAGTTTAATAGGATCATTGGTGTATTTTGAAAAAGTCGCACACATCGTTTCATGAGGGGTATATGTGACTGCCAATGATTAATTGGAGGGGCTCTTTGAATTAAAATGAGGATTTTTATTAATGGCTATATATATAAGACATGGAACATCCCCTTGTGCAAGTCACACATGGAGCATTACACGGAAAATATGGGAATAGTCTGCGTTCGACAATCTCAGGAATCCATGCAATATGATTTTGTTGCGATAACCGTTGTAGCGAAATGATATGTGTATGCAGCAAATGGGATACAGATATTTATTTACAAGATAAGGAAGTTTTTCTACTTTTTGGCGGAATAAATGGCCCTCAGTTCTCAGATTAAAGTTTTATTTATTTATGCATATTTGAAAGGAGGGCAGGAATCGGAAAACCAAGATCAAACGAAATAAGATGAAGATACGCAGCGAAAATAAATATTTCTGCATATCTTCAAGGGAAATTTTTCTAATCGAAAATTGCATGTGCTACGAAAAAATCAGGCCGATACGTTCAGCCTAGAAATCCATGAATTGTGACGTCTGCCTTTCATTGATAAAGGGGGGGGGGGGGTTCCATCCAACTGTGAAGCAATGTACCAAGTGATTTGAATATATACAATGATACACACCTAGTTTGTTCCCACATGTGTACCAGTAATTAACTACAATTCAGATGTCGTACCAAGGAAGTCAGTTATGGAGGGAATGCGAAACTTTTAAAACTTGAGGGGATTTCTCGTCTAAGTGGCTTTATACCCATCTCTTCCAGTCTTCATCATCCATCGAGATATAGGTTATCTGAATCTTCCATCATGATCATGGTCATGATTCCACTCCATGCGGAGTTTCATTCAATTCTGAGATGATGGGGTACATGCCTTTGCAATACTTCCAGAGGGTGGATGCGCCTGTAAATTGCTTTAAAAGGACGTAATTAGTGAATATAACACCCGTCACAAAAATGTAGGCCTCATTCTGACATATCATAGTATTCCTATGGCTGCCAATGACTCATCACGGTTGGTTGCACATACATGTTCCTTTCTCCCCTAGAAAGCTATGAACTTTTTGTTTTGTTGAATTACACTATTGTGTATGACTTCGCAAACACTGCTTGTTAGGAACCTGTCATTAATTCATTTAGCTTCCCATGTTCTGTAAATATTTCATCAACCACTTTCACGCAAGTATCACGTTAGTCTGACGATGATGAAAAGTTAGGGTAGACGAATTTCGCAGATAACGTGTTGCAGAGAACCACAAGGGGCGTCATTCCATAGGTCATTATAGATTCCGCCATATACCCCTATAATCGCCATGCATTGCTCCAACGTATTTCCAAATTGAAATGATGGTTCTCCTGAGTTCCAGAGGGTCTGCACTGAAGATGACACCAGTTCCCCTGTGCAATAGAAACAACACTGCAGCGTTGAATACAGCGATTACAGTGGAAAAACAAAAAGAGTCCCAATCTCATTCTGGATTTTGGCTCGCAGATAAGTGGTTTTGGTTTTTTCTAGGAAATAGAAACTAAATGCATAACAATTTTTCTCCTCACGCATACAGGCTTGCATCCAAGTAAATTAATCCTATTTCCAATTAAGTCATGTTTCCCAGGACGATGACTCTAACTTCACCTTGTCATGACAGACCATGATCTAGAAATACGATTCTGAGATCAGTCTGAACCGAGGCGTTTCGGTTGTCGGAATGGGTCCCACTTTTTTAATGGGCCTCCTTTCCTTACGGTTCCGTCCTGTTCCGGTTCCGTCTTTGTCTATTTGTGTGTCCACATTTTCCTTGTCCGAATAAAACTAACAAATATTGCAGTGATCAGACGATCACTGCAATCACGTCTTACCGGTAGATATTAACAAGATAACATTTTTGCATGTAGTCAAGAGAAATGCGACATGAGAGGTTTTCTTTGTCTGGAATGAAGTCTCGTGGGGGGGAGGTTGAGTTTCCCTCAAAACATTACTTGGATACTTGGAGCTTCCTGTCACTTTTCGAGCATACGAGGTCAGATTGCAGCTAAATTCACTTGGGTACGAGTCAAGTACAGTAATTTTCCAACCAATGATTGAGGGATTTCTTCTTTCTCCTCGTATACCTATGTAGCTCAATATTATCCAAGTTCCAAGTGTTAGATCTACTCTGGAATTTCCTTCCGATGTTCTGAAGTTTCCATTCACAAATGGTAGCGAAAAATGGCACTTCAAGACTTGCTCGATGACCTTTACCAGTTCCTTCGCGAAACGTTATGGAATTTCACTTCTATAGGTTATGCCTTGGACATATTTTGCAATTCAGATTTGTTTGATAGATAAATGACAGGTGACATAGTCGTAAGACAATTGACGCTGGATAGTGTAGTTCGAATGAACTGGTCCGAAGGAAAGGCAGGTTTGAATTTCAATGTAGGAATACCTCATATTGTGCCGTCGGTTAAAGGTAATTCGTTTGAAAGCGGAAGGTTTGCAAAGCAGCTCTGTACAGTCTCATGTTTTTGAAGAAATACTGAGATGTTATGTATTGCCACCCTTGCAAATATCTTCCAAAAAGCATATTGTCGCTTTACGTGTTGCAGTATTACAAGTATATGTAGGCAACGCATAAACATGCGTCTGTACATTCGCAAAATATATTCAGTTTCCTAAGGAACGTGACTCTCAATTGCGAATGTTAATGAAAAATAATCGTTTTCATGATATTTTTCCTGCGTGCGTGGCAGTATCATTTCCAGTTTTGACAATATAAGCATCTGAATGCATCATTCTCGAAGCAAAAACACTTCGATGCCGAAATTCACTCGATCTGCAAAGCTCAATTCCACCATGAGACTGGGGTGAAATGTTTCTCACGGAAGTCCTTACCATTGCTCCAATTATAGACGTGGTCCCCATCCAAATCGTCTGCGCCTCCCCAAACGGCATTGATCCCGAAAAGGGGCCAGGCGTACTGCTTGATGTAGTCGTGCCACGACTGGCCCATGTCGTCCCAAACCATGTGTCCTTGGCCATTTGTCTTGCAGCTGGCCTGCCCGTTGGCATAATTTTGCTTGGAAGTTAACGGCTTTAGAAAATGCATCTTGGTCGTGATCATTGCGAAGTCATAACCGCTCGGAACGAGGGCA